ATATAAATTAGTTTTCATTCTTTATATAATTTGAGGATGGACTACTTTGGAATGCATCAAAATATGTTAAATGTCTACCAAGTGAGTCATGATTGAACTATGAAGGCATGATTCACACAAATGTTTCCTCTTAGGGTGACCAGATTTTCACAGCTCTTCAGTTTATTGTGTCTGATCTTCACCATGACAGACATTTTGCATTTCCTGTGAGAKCCTCACAATAGATGCTGTAATGACAATGTTCAATGATGAACCTCTGGTGTCTTGGCATTAAAGTGTAGTCTCTCCAATGTGCTTTAGAGGATATGACTTTTAATTCCAATTAATAGTATATGAAGGGGACACAAAGTGAGATTATGGTGTCATATTCTCGAGCGTAACACATGGATCACATTCATTCTAAACATTACTTGGGGTCTTCCTCAACATGCAGCTGTATCACAGTCCAAGAATCAGCCACAGCTGTGTTGGCTTTAGTTGGAATTCCTGAATGTAAAGCATGAACCGTTCAGACAGAGGTAGACACTGAAACTATTAGTTTAAGCTGATGAGTCGTTTGTACAAACACCCCCACTTGTTGCATTTAAACCACTTCCTGTGTCTGCTTCAGAGTTAAAGCTTTTGTGTGTCTGACTCACTTCTGAGCTGTATTCTTCACTTCTTTTTAGTAATTTTACTAAAACAAAGTCAGTCATGCTTGGCAACCCCTTCCTTTTAGTACAACCTTGAACAATTAGCTCAGTTGTTAGTGACAGGGCCTCCGTAACCTCCAGATGGGTGGACTAAAGCCTGTGTGTGGACCCACCCGTTCTGCTTTTTTACTGAATGTAAGAGGGTTTAGAGGAAGAAAAAGCTGTTTGTTTCACTTCAGAGAGGAATCTGGTCTTGAGACAAGTAAAACAGCCAGGCCCACGTTGTGAGGAGAGGAGAGAAAAAAAGAAGCATTTCACACGATGCTGACATCAGCATGCTCAGAAAAAAGAATGAACAGAAAGCTGCAGAGAAAAGAGGACAGTTTAAACAGATGGACAGCAGTGCGTTCAGTAGAACAGAACACACTATTTATGGTTGTTACATTGTGTAACCATGGCTGTTGAAAGGATTTATTTTTTTATGAAAAACAGTTTTATACTAAATATTTTTTGCAATCTCAAGCCATGTTAAGCTAAAAATGTAAGAAGATGGCACATCAAAGCCTCTCACTGTGGCTGTAATCTGGTTTTATACTGAACCATGTTGGTGTATTTCTTTTTTTTAATTGCAGTTTAGTAGCAGGTCTTTGTTGGCGAGTAGCTTCCTTTTATCACTCCAGAGAAAATGAAGAGGTAAATCACTTAAACTGCCTAGTGGTAAAACCAAGGATCACTRTAGAGTCAGCAACGTTCTGCTCCATGTATTTTAAAGCATAGCTCTCTGACTTGCCCTTGATTTCAAAGAACAAAGAGACATGCAGTTGTTTATAACCTTAAATGACACAAACATGACTCARTTTAAAACTTATAAAAAACTACATCCCCTCAAACCTACATATTTGATGCATCTAATTGTCAGTGAATCAGAGCAGAAGTCTGTGTACTAGACTTTCAAGCCTTCCTTTGTGCCACATTTAGGGCTTTGGTCTGCATGCATGTTCCACCCACAGTGGGTATGCTCTACATGCAGATTGACCAGTTGGAGCACATTCTTGACCACAGCCCAACACGTCACCCAGGATTCCTTCAGGCAGCAAGAACAACTCTTGCCACAGAAGCATCGAAACCAAAACGATGTGTGTCTGGGTGGTGATGATCAGGAACAGGGAAGTGGTTCACAAAGTTGTAACCATTTTTCATAGTTGATCAAGTTCACATTAAGGTTATAGTTTCAAACTTGTTAATTCTTCATTGTTAAATGAGGTTTTTTTTTTTTTAGCTTGTGGTACATTTTTGTTGTTTACATGTCCCAGTTTTATTAAGAATCCACAATAAAAACTGAGAATGTATGCCTGTTTATTTAGGCTGGTAATCAGAAAATGATTTTGTCATAATTGGTACCTGTTGATAATTTTAAAAAAGGCAAAACAAAAATTCCAAATAGTTAATTTGCATTTACTGCAAAAATGCAGTGTGAATGCTTAATGCTGAAACATTTGTTAAAAAGCTAAAAAAGCTGAAATTAGCCTAAACATTGCTTTAAAAGTAGCTGAAATTTGTACAAAAAAAGTGTTTGCTAAATTAAGCAGCAAGAAGCTAAATTTATCACAAATATTTTTTTTGCTGAAAAGAAAACATTAAAAGTTGAAACATCATAATTGTTAAACCTATGTGTTGGCACTTTAGTTAAAACTCTCTGTAAAAAGACCAAAACACATTCTTATCTTCTTCAGTCATAAAGTTGAGAGCCTTTCAAACAGACCATAACACATTTTGATATATTTTAGAACACAACAAAACTAAACTAATAAGACGACAAATTTCCTGCTTGCAGTTGTACACTAAGGCTATTTCTTGTCTTCTGTATTTGTTTTTGTGTGCATGTGCACCTTCTATCCTTGACCAGAATGCCACTCCTTGTCTGCTATCAGACTGATGTTTTAACAACATTGTTACAGCTGGCAGGGACTGGGTAATTTAAACAAGGCTGAGACAATAAAGGTATGTTTCACAACACCTGATGCAGATTTATGATAAAGTTGGACATATTGAACTCATAGCATCAACTACCCAGACTGAAACTGCAAGCGACTCCACTCCAGTCTGCTCTGCCAYGCACGTCGTCGTCATTCGTTTCCACCTGTGTGGCTCCGTGAAGCACAGAGTTGTGCTTGCACAGGACATGTGAAATTGTTCAATAAAACAAATGATAATTGTGGAAGTCAAACCAAACCAATGCATTCTGTGTAAGACGAACTCAAAACAGTTGGAATTGCATCAGTGTTTTTTTTTTGCAGCCATATTTCAAAATAAAATCCACACATTTTGTGT